AGCCACGCAACTTGTAACTAGGTTATCTACTTTTTAATGAACGTTTCGGCACTTCGGCCTTCTTCAGCTTAATGAGTATATATATATTCACTTATCAAACTACAAATCAAAAGCACACACACATACAGACAAGCAATTTACAACTTTTAAAGAAATCACACTAAGTGTGTTTCCCTGGATTTTTTTTATGTTGAATCTAATTAGGTAAGTTGGATTGTAGTTTTCACTAGATGTGGGCTTTCTTATTTTCTCCTTTTTTCGCGCCATTTAGGTAACAATTAATGACAAACAAACRAAGAAAGTTAATAAAGAACCAATGGAATATAAATGGACACTGATCGAAATAATGTACTAACCTTTTCTACATCTCCTTTGTGTTTGGTCAGCAGCGCTGTTGTTATGTCATATGCTTTGTTGATAAGTTCTCGTGCTTGTTCATCTATAAGTTGAGCTGTAGCCTCACTGTATGGCTTATCAAAACTAGGCTCGCCATCCCTTGGCAGATCGAAAGATACATTTCCTAACTTTTCATTCATACCAAATGTGACAACCTRACAAATGAATGATATACAATGCCATCAAAAACAATCAATATTTTAATTGTAACTATCGCAAAAGGACGAAGTCATGATGCTATTGATTCCAGTATGCAGAATAGATTAGAATGTTGACAATTCTAATAGATAAATGTACATTTACACAATGTACCTAAATGTAAAACTCATTCATTCATAATGATTAAATSCAAAAACTCGAAGTTTTGGGGAACAGAAACTTCCTTAAGAGTGGTATTATTTGTGTTCAATAATCTGGTTTAATAAACTGACCTGTGAATAAGCACTTTTGGTKACTTTACTCAAGTCATCTTGAGCACCTGTTGTGATACGATTGAAGAATATTTGCTCTGATACTCGCCCACCTAATGTCATACACATCTTGTCCAGTAGCTGAAACAATGTCAAAATATTATAATTGTAACTTTATATTACCACTGATAGCGCTCAGCTGGAAAATATTGCACTTGCCTGGTGACATCCTCGGGAACCCAGCGGTAATCTTTTATCGAGGAACGAACAACAGAAGACTATTACCCCTGGGTTACCGAGGATGGTCTGATGAAGGCCAAGTGATGGCATGGCATAATGTACATTTTTTGTGGGTGTGCTTTGTGTGGTTGTTGTTGTTGAT